TCATATTAATACATTTACTCATTTTGGTTCTCTAATAATGCACAACAACTTTATAACTACTTTTATCAAAAGCTACAATCACCCCGAATAAAGCCTGAGGTTTCGTTTGGGACGACTTTCTTGATGCTTCTTAAAATAGCTTTCTAAAAGTTTATTAAGAAGCAATAAAAATGCCGTCCCAAACGAGCCCTAAGAGTCTTAAAAGCAAAGTCACGAGAACGCTATCTCTGTAAAACACTGCATGCAACCATCTCAAATAGAGCCCGAATTGATCATATACTAATATTCAAGGGTTTATTCTAAAGTTTTCTCTTATTTAGATCAAATTCATAACTTAGGGCTGTCCAATAATTTATAAATTCACAAAGAAAATTCTTATAAATATATAAAATTAATTTAAGCAAAGATAAAGTCAAATTATGCTTCTTATTATTTTTTAAAATAATTTTTTAACATCAAAACTTTTTAAATAAAAAAAATTATATTAAAAATTCATTTTAACATAATTAAAAAAAAATTTCCCAACCAAAATCCCACCGGTAAAAACCAAAGTTCTTGAAAAATCAGAGTTATTTAAAATTTCTATGCTTTATAATCAAATTCCAACCTTAATTTGGCGAGTTCAGCTGCTCTCCAACTTTTTTTGTCCTCAGTATTTATAAGCTAAGAAATATGATTATAATAATTTAGTGGGCCCGCCCATTCACAAGGCTACAACATGTCACGTAGAACGTGGAAGTTAAAACAAAAAATATTTTTTTTTTTAATGTATATTTTAGATAATATTATTTCATTAAATTATAAAATTCCGACTTTGCCATCCACTCACTTTTCCCCCTATTTTCGCTCTGGTTTTGTTGGGTTTGTTGGCTTCTCCTTCTTCTACTCAGACAACTCGCTCTTTATCTCTCACTATCTCTCTCACTCGGTCCATTTTCTCCAAAGAAATCATCTTCCTCCTACTATTGATCTCAAGCAGGTTCGAATCGGCTTTAAATTCTTTCTCCTTGTTTCTATTTGCTTCTCATCTTCCTCTTTTTTTCCTCAGACAGTTACCGGGCATCAAAGGTGTCGCCTTTAATGAACGATTAGCCGAGATTGGGCATTCTTTCTTCTCCAACAAGCTGCAATCGTTTGCCCATCTTGATCCCTCAATCTCCACGGATCTTTTCCCATTTTTAGCCCGCTTTGAGCTTTTAATGTGTTTCAGGTCATGGGTTGGCTTTGATCTTCTCGCCGTTTAGGCTTCTGCTTTTTCGTTTAATGTTTTGCGGTCCGTGGATTGAAAGTGGAATGTTCTACTTTCGCTTTCCGATCATAAAGCCGCGTGTTATCTGAAAACTGCAGCTGTGTTTGCCATTTGGGTTCTTTTCTTGCTGCCGTTTCTTTGGCCTGCGCTTTAATAACTTCCCACCCACTCTTTTCAAATTCGCCCAATCTGAGTTCTGAAAGCGTTTTTTTTTTCTTTTTAATTTCACCCAGGTTTGTTTATTTAATCCCTCTTCGTTTTCTTCTTCGTGTTTTGATTCTCCTGTCTGATTTCGATTGGGCGACCGTATCGCAGTTATTGAAGAGGAAACATGGGGGAGTTCGTGGAATTCCGGTCATGGGAGGAGCTGATCCCGGATGCTCTGGGATTGATCTTCCGCAATCTTCCTCTTCAGGAGATTCTTTCAGTGGTTCCTAGGGTATGCAAGTCGTGGAACCGGGCGGTGTCCGGCCCTTATTGCTGGCAAGAGATCGATCTCGAGGAGTGGAGCCGCAGGGTCGAGCCTGAACAGATCGAACGAATGCTCCACCTTCTCGTCCGTCGGAGCTCCGGTTATTGTCGACGCCTCGCCGTCTCCGGCGTCCCTAATGATTCCATCTTATCCTTCATCGCCGATTAGTAAGTGAACTCTCATCTCCAAAATCCGATCTTTATGCCCTAATCCGATTGTTATACTACTTATTGATCCTCTGCAACCATTCTGAAATCTGGTAATTTCCTATAATTAGATTGCCAGTTTAATACTTTCATAGTTCTGTTACAAATATAATATATAACCCCATCGATTCTTCACCATCCCTGATTCTATTAGCTCGTATGTTATGCAAGTGCTGGTTCGCTTCAGTCCCTCGAGATGCCGAGGAGCGAGATGAGCGACGCCATTGTCGAGCTAGTTGCGGGAAGGCTCTCTAACATCACCTTCTTAGATATCAGTTCCTGCAAGAACATCGGTGCTCGGGCTCTAAAATCATTTGGCCTACACTGCAAATCTCTAGTCAGCCTCCGGCGCACAATGCACCCTCTCGAGGTTGCCGGCAAAGTGTGCCAGGACGACGAAGCCCTCGCCATTGCCCTCAGCATGCCCAAGCTCCGACACCTCGAGCTGGCTTATCTCCTCCTCACAACCGAAGGTGTCCTTCAAATACTCTCCCATTGTCAAGAGCTTGAGTTCCTTGACATAAGGGGATGCTGGGATGTCAAGCTTGATGAGAAATTGATGAAGGAGAAGTATCCAGAGTTGAAGATTCTCGGCCCCGACATTGTCGATTCCTACGAGAGGAGCTTCTGGAATGAATGCTCAGATTACTCTGATACTTCAGAGTATTCTTGGGATTTCATGGATGATGATGATGATGATGATGATGATGATGGTGGCTATGAAGATATGAGTGATGAAGAAACTCTTTGGAATGGTGATATTGATGAGCGCAATGTGGAGAGGTTGCAGGTCAGATTCTATGGAGGTGGATTCAATGAAGCTTTTGCTGGTTTTGAATGGCCACTTTCTCCATAGGAACAAAAAAGAAAAGAAAAAAAAAAAAACACGCATTGAGTGACATTAAAGGTCTGCTGCTATTCTATAATGTTTTGTTTGTAGGCTTGTGTTGCTTTTAATTGTTATATTTATATATATTTGTGGATGTAAACTTTCTGTTTGCACGGAATCAAAATATATAAGTAGTAAATATCTTTTTTTTTTTTTACTTGCAGAATTGCAGTTCTGTTTTGTGTAATTATGCTAATTGTTCTGTGGGCTGATGACATTTTGAACCTCAGATAACAAATTAATGGCATTTTGATTGAGATTTAAGGTTATTTTATTTTTTAGACAATAAATTATAATTTCATTAACTAATTTTTTTGTTGTTTTCTTGTTAATTTTTAAAAAA